CGATCTTGACTGCATGGGAGGTTCCGCCTCCGAAACAATATAAATGCATACGTTGGTCTATATAAATGCATACAAGGGTCTATATAAATGAATACCCCTGTAATGCAGCATCTTCCTTTTTGTATTCTGTTACGGATGGGTAAATGTAAAGGAACTGCTTGAAAAAAAGTTTCGTTTTTCCTAGCTGCCATCCGTGTGAAAATTAGATTCCGGTGATTGTTCTTTCTAGATGTTCACATTTCCCCTTAATTTCAAGCTCGTAGTTGTACACTATGAGAACTTTGATAACCAGCCCAGCCCAGCCCTGCTTTGCATTGGCTTTTGCTATACAAAACTACAGTATGCTATTCAAGGACCATTGAGTCCGCCGTTGGGCTCGAGAACTCAGAATTTGCTGCGTCAATGATTTTAAATTACTACAGTTTACGAGATTTTTTTCGGTTATTGTGCAGTTCTTCCCTCGCTCGTTTCTACATTTATCTTAGGCGTTGTAGTCCGGAAAAATAAGTGTACTTTAGCGAAATATTTTTCTTAGAACGCACTGCGATGTCAAGAGTTTGCAGTTTTATTCTAAAGTTGAGACCTGGAATTTTATGTTTCTTAAGAATCTGAGCGCTATAGAAATATACAAAATTCGTATACCGCCAATATGAAATGTGCTGATTTGCGATAACTGGTTTTCGTTTTGATGGAGCAAGCATATACTTTTACAAACCAGGTTGCCCTCTTAGTAGAAGAAATGGAAATGGCAACACCTGAGTTCATTATTAGTCCCGATTACATTAATATTTCAAAGAAATTTCTTGAAAGCTTTTATTACACGAAGAATGAGGAACATTTGATGATTTACCGTCAGAAAGTGGCCGACTCAATCCTTTGCAAGAAAGGTATCGCAAAAACATTTGGAAAAGCCCTGCGGGTATTAATTGAAGAAGTGAAACGTAAAGCAAATCCCATAACGTACAACACATTGCGTGTTAGTGCGTACAAGTCTGCCGTTTTCCTCCAGGCGGCGCTTCTAAATTATTCTGAGTGTTCAGCCAAGCTTGCACGAAATCTGATGAAGGATAAAAACTATATTCAATCGAACAAACTTATTTTGCGTGGCGTTTGTGTAGCTGATGCGAATCTGCCGGTGAATCAGGCAATCAATTAAATTTTTAATGTGACCAATTCAACAATAGTCTATTTTGCATTTCTTGAAGTGCACATTGACATGTACCCACAACTTGCTAAAATTCTGTGGAGACGAAGCTCGCTTCATTTTAAAGGAAAAAGGTCTTCAGCATGAAGTACTTAAATATAAGGACAGCAGCAGAACCGATATCAAAGTGAGCATTTAATTTTGGACAGAAAACGTACATTTTCCAACTTGTATTTTCATACAGTGTTGCAAATATGCACGCCTGTATATGATTAACTGATCTTTTAAGTCAAATAAGACTTTAAAATACAATTTCCTTTTGTGGTCAGTTTAGATGACTTTTTACCTCCAGTTTAATGCATCTACACTGCTTACCTGCAAAATATTCACAAAACTAGAGTTCCGGTTAGGCGAGTCAGGGGCTAAGATTCGAGCCTATGAATAATAATTAAAGAAAATTAGTCACACGTTCTAAGTGGAAGATTTATTAAACTTAGGGTGAACTTACTGTCAAGTAGGTGCCTATAAGAGCCCCTTTGAATAAATTGAGTCTTGGTTTTGAAACGTAGGATTACGGGATAAGTGGACTACCAGGCCGATATATCAAGTAAATATTTCCACCAGAAATACTAATCTGCATATGCAACTGTTTTTAAGTGTGCTTTAAATGTTCGCAATTGCAGTATTTTCATGTTCCAAAACTAAGTAACAACAATGTTATTTTAAAAGTTTAAACAGTCAAACTAGATGTAGTGGAGGATAATTATTTGCAGCACAATTTGTTTGGGGTCTGAGCTATCTGCAATTTTTCTTTAGAAATAAGTAGCATATTTTGCTTTCTGCTTTACACATTAGTTTGAATTGTGGCCGGTGACCACTTATTGATCCTCTCTGCTTCTGTTATCTGCAACACATATTACAAACTTTTTTATTTAAAATAGATAAGGCACGTGCAATCATTAACAGGTATTTGAGTTGAGTATGATCGAAGAGATCATAAATTGTCAGCCGAAACCTTCCAGAAAAGGCGATTACTATAGCAAATATCATATGATTTTCTTTGCCTCCTAATATACCATGTAACATCATTACAATTCAAAAATGTAAACATTTAACATTCCCAGAAATCAAAATGTGGAATGTCAATTTTTTAGAATAATATCTCAAATACGACAGCTTTACCACTTTTATTTGTACAAAACGTAACTGTGGACACAAATAGGATGTGACCTCAAAGCGGCTTTAAAAAATCAGTTTGTAAATTGTGTGTCAGCTAGATATTTAGAACACCGTCCTTTAATAACGTTTGTCAACGTACTCACATTACATGGAAAGTTGTTAGATTCGCTTTTATCATTTAGTAAAATACTCGCGCACAAACCTGCAATTGGCAAATTCGTACACTTAGATGCCTGTGTCGTGCTAGAAATAATCAAAAAGCATTGAATTTATTTCAGGAGTAATTATTTTGATTAAAAAAGGTGGCAATTGGGAAGCAAGAAAAAGCCTTGTATATTAAAAATGGGATTTAAGTACATTGTTAGACATACAACTACACTAAGTCCACCTTCTTAGGTTTCTTAACCGCCGGTATTATGTAGCAGTTACTCGTGCAGCAGTTCAACTATTATAAATTTCTTTTTGACCAAATAATATTTAAGAATGGTGCCGCTGGCTTATGGTGTGCTAACTCACTTATAATTACGCTTTCACCTGTACTTTTGCTGCTTAGTACTCAAAAGGCATCTTGCTCGGTTGGATAGATAGACCAATTAAACACGTCAACTGTCCCATGAATGCTTATACCTGATAAAAGTTTTTTCAGATATATGTTATAAGATACATATATAACCTTTCGATGCAAATACAAGCTAGCAAGAGTTTAAACAGAAACTTTGAACTTGGTAACTCATATACTTCTACGTGTCTGTAAAATATGAATTCATCTGCTGGTCGTCAATATGTGTCCGGGTCTCGTAAAGAGTCACTTTTACATTTTTATTTACTTATACTGTACGTTGTGTTAGATAAAATTATTAATACGAGTATTTGCATCTATATTGTAGAATCTAAGCCTGTTCATACTAGCATATTTGGCCAAAGATGAACAGGAGCTCAAGCTCTTGGAAAAAACTACAGTCGATCTCATTATGACGAGTCTGAAAGATGCTTTTGAAAATAAAATTCGAAAGGCTGACGGCTTTCGTCCCGTCGAATTGTGCGCCTGTAAGAAGCAGAAATTCACAGGCTGATCTATTCATTCAAGGTTTAGAACAAATAGTCAAATTAGAGCCTATTCAATCTCACTTGATGACACAGAACATTTTATTAATTCTGCGGAGAATCTACAGAAGTGGCTCACGAAGAACAGCCTGCATTGCCTTGCTGACCGTCTGGACATTAGCCTTCAATCCTACGTTTAAAGCCGAAGTTAAAAGAGCCTTTGGCAATTTCATAAAATGGGAGTTAAACAATATTCAAAGGAATAGGATTCCAACTGAACAGAAACACAGTGATAATAAAGGCAAGGACGTTCTGGACTGTATAGTGATCAGAAGGTGGAGTCTTAGCCGCCGGCCTTCAGTATCGGGAACAAGTGAGAAGACTATCACTGAAAACACGACTTTTCCCGGCGATGAATCGTTATTTATGCAGTATCTTTTGGAAAGAATTACGATGGAATTGAATTTCGAAGGTATGAGACAGATTGCTTATCTTCTTAAACTCCAGCCGAATGCGCTTCCTCGAAAGCCAATCTCCACGTCATTTTTCCATCTCTGCCGCTTACTTATTTTTTTCTCGATATACATAGCTTAAAATAGCATTTCCATATAACCCAGAAAATTTGTTAGCAGAATTTTCACATACTTTGTCAGAGATCAGCACAGTCTTGCGTCTAAATGAAAACACATGCAGTTCCTTTGATCAGGTGAGAAAAGTGTATCCCGTTTATAATAATTAATGAATCGGTGGATTCTAATAGTAAATTGTCCAAAAACCTTTTTGCATCAAACAGTCACTCTAACTTTGGGGACGTTTTCTTACCAAATTGACACCAATGAATAACCCTCCATCTCTGTTGGATGTTTTATATAATGCAAGTCTGTAGGCATCCCGTCAGTCGAACCAGAAGTAGAGCAAGCCAACTATACGGCAATGAAACTTTTTTTATTTTTTTTCGTTGTCAGATGTGGCGTTTAAAGACCTTACTCGGCTGCGACTCCTGTAGATGACTTTAAGCGGACGACTAGTAGATAAAGGCACCAGTATAAAAAAAAGGTGATCTGATATAAGTTATTTCGTTTTAGGTCTAACGCTTGGATAAACGGAATTTTCTTTGAGGTCCATGGCATCAAAGACAGTTAGATGATAAAAATTTCCTGTCTTTGACATGAAATACACGAAATAATGCCGTAAAGTGGTTTTGGATTGACGTTTTAGTATTTCAGTTTGAGGACGTTAGAACTTTCCTTAGAATTCACAGAGAGACAATCACTCACTCCTTTCTAGATATGCTTGAACCTATTCTGAGTTCACAAGGCTCTATTAGTTACCCAGCATATGATAACCTCAAGCTTTATGCCAGAAGATGCTCTCTTAAAATACGACCAAGGTATTGAACATTTCGCAAAGCATATTTGACATTCAAATCTATGGCTTTCTATTTGAAGTCAAGGTTTTCGACTAGGAGCAGTGGACAACGTGTTTTTATTGTCAGGGAGCTCGCTTAGCATCAAAAGATTCCCTTTCCTTTCTCATAAAACTTTGACCAATGAAAACAATGTAGTCTTTTCCTATGGCTGAGTCTTAATACTTCCCCTTGAGTTGTTTAAGTCCTCATTTGTTGTTTATATCGTCAGAACCTATTTGATTGTCTTAAAATATTGCAACAGTGTAGTCCCACTGTTGCAACAGCACGCTCATTTATTTTTAGACTGCAAAGAGAAAAGAAGGATCTGGATCAAGGAATATAGACATAAACGCAAAAAGAAGCATCGGATGAGATATGAAGTTTGAAAGTATTTTTTAGGTCAAACATTTTCAGCTGACTGATAAGGTTTCTTAAAATAGGCTATTATCACAAAGTTTGCGTAAACCCGTCAGTGCGATTCTTAGCTGGTTGGTTCTATGGAGTTTCAGCCCTTGGAATATTAACTTGCAATTTATCCGACTTATATCATTTTAAAGCCTGAAATGCAGGAGGCAAAATTTATGTTCTGCAAGCTCTTGGCTGCAAGTTGTCTGGAAACATCTGTCCAGTTTAATATACGCAAATGCCTTTCCGAGTTCTATGGATAAATTTAGTCGAAAGTGTGATAAGAGTTTACGTTTTGCCCACTTATTATGGCTTCCCTAAGAAACAAATTCAATGATGAAGATCTATCCTGCTATTTCTGTTCTTTTTTTTAAAGAAAAGCTGTTAGAGCGTATGACGCTTCAAACCAATAACTACAATACAAATCCGCACGTTATGATCAGCTACAATCCCTTCTACCGAAACTTGGCCACCCAATTAGCCAATCGACTCAAGGCGGCCGGTTTCAAGGTATGATGTTTCCAGGATATACATTAAGTAGATATTTTACATCCCAAGTAACCAAATCGACTCTCTGGAATTGAAAAAAAGTAACTGTTAATTGGTTCCTTTGTTAATACGCATCCACATATGACACATTTTTCAGGACAGTTTGTTTAAACTTCGGGCTTCGAAACCTACTCCATTTTCCACAATTGGCGTCAAAATCAGGTAGCTCAGATCGGTCATAAAACAAGCTGTCACTGTAATCCGCACAGTTTGGCTTAAGTCTTTAATAGTACTCTAGGGTAGGAGAGATGTGTTGAGTTCTTACATAATTTGACCATTTGTAAAGCAAACATATCGAGTTACATAGGACGGTCAGTT